CGTCGGTTTGCCGGATGATGACCCACTATATCTAATGCAAAACAAAACGTAGACTTGTTTAAATAAACATGATTCTCATTTAAACGGGTTCAGTATAAATACATCTAAAGTCAAGCTTTCAGTATATATACCAACACCTTGTATATTTTTGTTTGAATGAACCCAAAGCATTGTAGATTCTAAAATAGTGAGATTGAACATTTATATCCCAAATTCCTCCAAACCGACCTTTCACCCTACCTTCTATCGTCCCCTCCCCCCTCCACATCGAGCTTCACATTCACATTTACATTCACCTTCACCCACATCCTCATATTTATTTTCGTCTGCCATGCATTTCAGCTTAGCACTCCTCCATGAAATGGCTCCACCTCTCAAAGTAAAAATAGCTTGAGGTTGACTCACTCTCGTCCCAGTCTTACTGGCAGTCGAAATTGTTGTTACCCAGCGGAAACAAGTTGTTTACACGGTAAACTAACATGTACTCCTTAGTACTTCTCAGGTACTTGAGTATATGTTTCACCGCAGACCAATCCCCTGGGCCCGAATTACATTGATATCTATCTACCATGCCAAGGGCGTAGTTAATATCTTCTCTCGTGCACAACATTGCATACATGAGACTTCCTACTGTCGAGGCATAAGAAATTGTCTTCATGTCCTCAATCTCTTGAGTTGTCTTGGGAGACATCCCTTTAGAAAAATGTATTCCATGCCGAAAGGGCAATATTCATTTCTTAGAATTCTACAAGATAAATCAAGCCGAGAAAGTATCTATGTATGAAGACTAGGATAAGCAAAACATTCTCTTCTCACAGTTTCGAATGACCTTGATACCAAAAATGAATTCTGATTCTCCTAAGTCCTTCATACCAAACATTTCGGACAACCATACATTTACATCTGACAGTTTCATCTTATTATTTCCAATTAGAAGTATTTCGTCTATGTAAAGCACAAGAAAGACCCCCATGTCGTGCACTGCTAGACCTCTGCGATGTGTACCACCTCTCCATCAATCAACTATCCCCCAACTATTAGGCACTTAGTATATTTCACCATTCTTTCTCATCGTAGATTAGATGACATTTTCTCGTTACATTCGTTTGGTACCCTCCACATATTTATAGATACCTATTACAATGTACTAACTCATTAACCTATTAACCATGAAAAAAAGGCCAAACTTATTTCTTACTATTAAACTACTAGAGGCCCAAATCTACCTCATATTATAATAAAAACTAGTAAGGAATAAATAGTTAAAATATTAGTGTAATATGACTTCCTCAAAGCCCGTTCTCCATAGGGTACATGAAAATACTCCCTTCTTGGAAGAGTCTCGTCTCCGAGACTCATATGTTGAAAATGTAAGCATTGCGTCCAAAAGGCTCGACATCGAGTGAAGCGCGTGAGAAGAACTTGTACTACCCAAATTATGAAGCTTATTTAATTGCATGCTCTTAATGGTTAAAGCTCAAATCCAGTAGTGAATGAGCTCAGTTCAAATGCCATTCACAGTAGCAAATAAATCAACCAACAACCTAATAAAATGACTAAGGTATCACATGTAGATGTTTGCCTATAAATCCTTACATTATTGCGAGACCAAAGCCTAAAAATTGCCCCATAAATTCACACATTATTGTGATCCCAAAGCCCAAAACTCACCAATCACTTTTGTATTACTCATAACCGTTAACTATTCGACGTTATAGATATGGATATGCGAGTCATAAACTATCCAAAAAATATTGCATAATCATAAAATATGCGATGTTCGATGACCAAATATACAAAACTTTCTCTCATACGGAAATTATACGGTGGATTTGAGTATGCGATAACAAAATATGCAAAAATATTTCACATATTTATTAACCATTTATCCAGCAAAAATAGTTCACATATTTATTAACCATTTATTTGATTTAGAATATGCATTGGTATATATGTGACAAGATCTCATATAATTGTTAATTATGTGGATTACTTGGATATTTGAATTTTTACGCACAATCGTTAATTCTAGATTATAGATTTTGATATGTGAGTCGTAAACTATGTGAAAATGTCGCATAATCATAAAATATTTTGTTGCGCAACTTGCCCTTTGATTCAGTTTGAACCGTAATCTATTGATTTTAACTACATTAACGTCTCTGATGACATGCAAAACGCCGAGAGGGGTCCCGACCGAAAAGGCTCCGACACTCAAGTCAGTCTGTGTTTAATAATATGGTAATAGTATATTTTGGGTGTGTATGTGTAGTGTAAAAGTTATAACATATATCTTTTTTATAGGCAAGGTTGCGTGGTTATCCAGGGGACTCTTGATAGGACTAGAACTCCTGGTATGGCAAAGAGTTCTCCCTTATATTCCTTCTCATCAGACTAGATCTCCTTAAAGCTTCAAAGTCCACATCAATATGTACTTTATTTATTCAAGAGATCATGCTCCCTTTTCATGTACGACCCAAATTCGAAACTCCTCTTTTCCGTCCAAGACCTACCCTTATAAGCGCGAGAACATCGAGGTTTTCCTATCGGCCGACCTCGAAACAATGCTTCCACGCTGGCCAAGCTAAAAGCTCTTATTGATCTTTCATGCCGAGCTGATCAGCCTGCATTCCTCCAAAGAGTTTACAAGGTATCCTACTGAGTCAACCAAATCCCGAGCAGACACAACAAACGACATGCTCTCCTTCACCAAGGGGCAATCTCCAATATCGAGGTCGTGCCGCCTAGCTGCAGATACCTGCCGAGCTCAATCCATAGTACATCACGCGAGTTTCCTTTCCTTGGACCAGGCCTATCTTCGGATACTGTCGGTGAGGACACCGACCTATCCTCTTTAATATGCCTCCTCTGTGCATTGTCGTCGAGCTACCAAATGAGAGGTTTTTCGCCAGGCTACTTTGTGTTGCTGATTCATATGTGACATTCGATTTGGATATGTGATAACTAAATGTGGAAACTTTCTCGCATAAGGTAAATGATGCTGTTGATTTGAATATGCGATGACAAAATATGCCAAAGTATTTCACATATTTATTAACTATATATCCAATTTGGATATGTGTTGATATATATGCGACAAAGTCTCGCATAATTGTTAATTAATGGGTTTATTTGGGTATTGAATTTTAATGTTGCATATTATTTCATGACTTTTGAAGTGGAAAAAAAAATTGATGGGCAGTGTGTAAAAAGTAATCAGTTGTGAGTTGTCAAACATTAATTTTAAAGGAAAAGGGGTATTGCTTATATGCCTAATGAGCTACTCCTTCCATCAACAATTAGTTTTAGAATTGAACCTCACGAATGTGCACATAATGCTTTAGGTCTAGTTTTGTTTATGTGGCATGTAAATAAACATTTGTCTTGGATGCTATGAAGAAAAATATATAAAAGTAACTAGATCTAGTTTTGCTTATGTGGCATGTAAATATATATATATATATACATATATATATATACATAAGTAACAAAATTAACTGCAATACAAAGAGACTAGGTCACTACTTGGTTCTAAAATAGACTTAAGGGTAAACCGAATCTCTTTTTCTTGCTGCCACATCAGCAGGACCTAGTTCTCTTGCACTTGTATGAGAGGATATATGTTTTTAAATAGAGTCTATTTCTTACGGGGCCTTGTATATTTTTTGAAATGAACCCAAAACATTGTAGATGCTAAGCTCACCCTTTTATGTTGAGACTTCAACCTCTTTCTCCGAATCCACCTGGGCGTAAAGGATGCCACATTTGTTCTTTTCCCTATATATTAATTAAATAAAATAGTATAATACAAAATTGTTTCCTCATTTACTTAAGCTGATATGATAGGATATGGTTGGATAACTCCTGTTATCCAACGTTTACTAACCATGATTGGATTGAATAATAAGCTGATATGTCATGCAGGTCCCATACTTTTGTGCACAATTGACAAAATTATTTTGTTTGGTCACAGGGCATTTTAATCTCACCTTGGAAAGATTTGTCCAAAATTGAGATGTGGAATATTCCTTTTACATTTAGAAGTCCACTAATTTACAGATTTAGTCTGTAACAATATATTTTGTTGTCACCTCATATTTTTTTAAAGTTTTTTCAATACAAGACCCGAAAGATAGGTAAACTATCAATTCGGGGCCTGAAAGATTTATTTTCTCAATTCAGGACATGAATGTTATAAAATTATCAAATTAAGTCCTACAATTAACAACACTCATAAAATCATTAAATTGAGAGTTAATTTTAAGTTTTAAAACAAATTTTTTTTTTTAATATTATACAAATGTTTACTTATTATTTTATGTGAGTAAAGCAACAATTTTTTATTGTTCTTCAAATTTAGTGTTTTAAAACTTAAAATTAACTTTCAATTTAATGGTTATATGAGTGTTGTTAATTGTATGACTTAATTTAATAATTTCATAATATTCAAGTCCTGAATTAAGAAAAAAAAATCTTTCAAGCCCCAAATTAATAGTTTATCTATTTTCAGGTCTTGAAAAAACTCGTATTTTTTTTTATCCTGTCATTTATCCAGGACGTTGGACTGTTAATTGCCTCAAAATACATCATGTTTTATAAATATTGGAAACAAGCTAGCGTATAAAGTTGATGGGATTAAACTGTTCAATCTCACTATTTTAAGTAAAACGATAATTCTATCCAATTCCGAGTTTACACGCCACTAAATTCTTCAAAATAATTGTAGCTCACTATACACGGTGAATAAAAACCACAGAATATTTATATCCCCCACGCCCACTGCCCACTGTACCACCCCAAATTCCTCCAAACCGACCTTTCACCATAACTCCTCTTGTCCCCTCGCCCCCACCCATCCACCTCGAGCTTCACATTCACATTCACATTCACCTTCACCTTCACCCACATCCTCATATTTATCTTCGTCTTCCAGTTTTCCTTTCATTTTTCTATCCCTTGTGTGTTTTTGATTTTCCAAGAGATACGAGAAAGCAAGAGCAATGGGCGAGGGTACGCTGCTCCCAGATCTGGGCTCCGAAATTCTCATCCCAATTTGTGCCGTTGTCGGCATAGCTTTCGCCCTCTTTCAATGGCTGCTGGTGGCCAAGGTGAAACTTGCCGACGGCAAATCCAACTTCGCCGATGGGAAAAGTGGGTTTACCGAATCTCTCATCTCTGAGGAGGAAGGCATCAACGATCTTTCCGTAGTTCGCAAGTGCGCCGACATCCAATCTGCCATCTCCGAAGGTAATTATTGTTTTCTTATTAATTGTTTGCATATTTGTGATTGCATAATCTTATATTTGGCGTTATATTTGGTGTTTGGTGTTCGGTGTGTGTGGTGGTTTGATCTAATTCTGGATTGTCTACCTTGCTATGCATACAGAGTTATTGGTATCATTTTCAAAGCTAAGAACTGTCTCCTATGCAAAATACACAAGCACAAAAAGATTCGACATTAGTCAATCTATTATTCATGTGTTAATATTTGTTGAGTATACATATTTTTATGTATATATGGTTTTATTTTTGTTCTATTCGCTAATAAATATAAATGAGAATAATAATTATAATCAAATTGATATTTTTTTTTATAAAATTAATGTTATTAAAATGCAATAATCATAATTAAATAAATAAAACATACAAAATATTACTATTAAAATTATAAAATTAAAAATATTTATAGCTAAATATGGGGACATAACTATAAACATTAAAAAAATTATATTGATTTAATGGAATCCAATAATGGATATGGTATATCTAAAATATTCGTAAAAATATTTGAAGTAATTTCAGAATATAAAAAGAATTTTGAGAAAATATAAATGAAGAGAATTCTAGAACCAGTCATTTGAAATTAAAAATATAATTAGGTATCAATTAAGAAATTAAGAAAATATTAAAATTATCAAACTTAAATATTAGAAAATATCAAATAAATACTATAGAAAAAATACATAGAAATAGTAAACCAAATAATAGAGTAATATTTCCTATTTTATAAATATCTATTTTGATATTTTTTTATTTATACGAATTATTCAATCTAAATTAATTCCGTTACATACTTTTTAATCGAATATTATAGTGGGGTCTTATCTGTAAAGATGTAAAATATGGGGGAAGAAGTATTGAAAAAATGTAAAAGTTGATGTGAAAGAGTATTTCAAAAATATTCTTTTGGATTTGAGAATGAGTTTTTTCGGATGAGTTATTGTTTGACAATTGCTGCAAAATTGGTTTGAAAATGAGTTTTTCGGTTGCGGATGACCTAAATGGTTCCCATACCCATCATTTTATGCATGCATACTATTTCTTAGTGTAAGAAGAAATCTATGTATTTCTCAATGATTCAAAGGGCATAAAGAGCTCAATTTATCACAGCTAAGAGAATACAAATCCTAATTATAATTGTAGATAGTATATATCCTTTCCTAAAAGACGATTCTTTATTTAGAATAATACACATAACACCCCCTCGAGCCGGAGCATGCACATTGTTACAAATGTTATTAATTTATACTACCTTCGTAAATATGTCTCCTAGTTGATTTTCTGATTTGGCATGCTTTGGGGTGACGAACCGTTCTTCTATTTTGTCACACATAAAATGACAGTCAACTTCAATGCGTTTAGTTTGTTCGTGAAACGCGGGGTTGACTGCAATGTGAAGGCGAAATCTTTGTTGGGAGAGAGCGCTCAAATTTGATCTCTTTCAACACTTGATGCATCCACTCAATCTCATGAATTTCATCCGCCACCTTTTGTTTCTTACTTCGTCAAGAAACTCAATTTCCCCCCAGCAGAAACGCAACATCTAAAGTTGATCTTCTATCTTCATCTTTGCAGCCCGCATAATCTGAACCATTGTAAAATTCCACTCTGGAGTGACTATAATAAACCATGCCCAGGAATACCCTTAAGATAACAAAGAATTTGTTGCAGAAGAACCGAATGATTCGATTAGTTATTGAGCTGTTATTGTGTATAACTGTGGGTTGACCACCCTTTCCCTTTGAGGATGAGTTCTACCTAGACCCATATATCATGGTACCAGAGCACTGAGAACCCATGCTCAGGTTGTGGTTTTGTTTTGTTTGGAGGCGATGTTGAGTTTGGACCTGGCCCATTTGATTTGGCATGTTGTGTGTCTGTGCGTGAGGGCGATCGCTATAAGTTATGTTTGTCCGACATCTATTAAGTTCTGGTGTGTATAAGTGTGGGTTGGGACAAAAATGACTTCTAATAGTTCTAACACTCAAGAGTCAGATTTGAGCAATTCGTTTTCATTTTGATTTTGAAGTATATGTTACCAAGTGAGTGTCGTCTGAAGCATAGAGTTTTTGCTGATACTAGTAACTAAAAGCCATTATTGTAGAAGATAATAATTACCAACACAAGCTTATAGTATCAACTGGTATAAATTATGACTCAAAGAAAATTGCATTTTTGACAATACTAGTTACTAAAAGCCATAATTTGCAGAAGATAACAATTGGCAACACAAGCATATGATATCAACTGGTATAAATTATGACTGTGTGTGTGTTGTGTTTTCATGTTTCTTTTTCTGTCTTATTTTTGTCTCAAATTTTGAGATGAAAAGGCTCTACATGTTCTGGTCATGCAATCACAACATTTTTTCTTTCCTAGCAATGAAAGAGAATAAGAAAAATGCAACTGAACTACCTGTTTATTTATTCATCTTAAACTAGCACCGAGATTTTTGGTAACCGGATCCTGAATGCTACAGGCGCAACATCATTTCTGTTCACCGAATACCAGTATGTTGGTATCTTCATGGTTGCTTTTGCCATGTTAATCTTCCTCTTCCTCGGCTCGGTGCAAGGATTCAGCACCAGTCATCAGCCATGTACATATGACAGCACGAAAATGTGCAAGCCTGCTCTTGCCACAGCCATTTTCAGCACCGTATCCTTCCTTCTGGGTGCTGTCACATCCGTGGTGTCTGGATTTCTTGGGATGAAAATCGCCACCTATGCGAATGCTCGGACCACTCTTGAGGCCAGGAAGGGTGTTGGGAAGGCTTTCATTGTCGCATTCAGGTCTGGTGCAGTTATGGGTTTCCTCCTTGCCGCAAATGGCCTGCTTGTTCTCTACATTGCTATCAATCTCTTCAAGCTCTACTATGGCGATGATTGGGAAGGCCTATTTGAGGCCATAACTGGTTATGGGCTTGGAGGCTCTTCAATGGCTCTTTTCGGTAGAGTTGGTGGAGGTATTTACACAAAAGCTGCTGATGTAGGAGCCGATCTTGTTGGCAAGGTAGAAAGGAACATTCCAGAAGATGACCCTAGGAACCCTGCGGTATGGCTGCTATTCAACTAAATAATACTCGGATATTTTTGGATTTAATAAAATAACCTTTTTAAAAAAATGTCACAGGTTATTGCAGATAATGTTGGTGATAATGTCGGAGATATTGCGGGTATGGGATCTGATCTCTTTGGCTCATACGCAGAATCTTCATGTGCAGCCCTTGTTGTTGCTTCCATCTCATCATTTGGGATCAATCATGACTTGACTGCAATGCTGTATCCTCTTCTGGTCAGCTCAGCTGGGATCCTCGTTTGTCTTCTGACCACTTTGTTTGCGACTGATTTCTTTGAGGTTAAGGCTGTCAAAGAAATTGAGCCTGCATTAAAAAAGCAGCTCATCATCTCAACAATTCTGATGACTGTTGGAATTGCTGTTGTTAGCTGGATTGCTCTTCCCTCATCTTTCACAATATTTAATTTCGGAGTGCAAAAAGAAGTTAAGAGCTGGTGAGTTTAATAAGTTGATGGATTTATTTTCATCTGGTTTGTGTGACCATCTGTGTATGCCATTTCAAGTTTCAACCACCCCTGTTAGCTTCAAGCCATTGTTTCCTGGATTTGTGAATATGATTTGAAGCATCTAAAGCGCGTTTTATGACTCTCGAGTAAAACTTTGTATTCGTGTTTCCAGGCAATTGTTCCTGTGTGTTGCTGTTGGTTTGTGGGCCGGGCTGATTATCGGATTTGTCACGGAGTACTATACGAGCAACGCTTACAGGCAGTACTCTGCACTATTATCTATTTCCGTAAAAAAAAATATATGAAATAAATGCAAAATACATCATTCTTTTCAATAACATTATCTGAAATGCAAAATATTGTTCTCCAGCCCTGTGCAAGATGTTGCGGACTCATGCCGCACGGGTGCAGCTACCAACGTGATTTTCGGACTTGCTTTGGGCTACAAATCAGTCATCATCCCAATTTTTGCCATTGCAATTAGCATTTTTGTAAGCTTTAGTTTTGCTGCCATGTACGGTATTGCGGTGGCGGCCCTCGGAATGCTAAGCACTATAGCAACTGGGTTGGCTATTGATGCGTACGGCCCCATCAGCGACAATGCTGGTGGTATTGCTGAGATGGCAGGCATGAGCCACAGCATCCGAGAGAGGACAGATGCACTTGATGCTGCAGGCAACACCACTGCCGCTATTGGGAAGGTACTTACTTTTTTCAACTACTCGATCATCACAAATCTTATGTATGAATTTTTGGACTATGCAACACAGACTGTCGATCATTATATTTTATTTTATTTTGTTTTTAGAGAAAGTATTATTTTGGTTAACTTACAAAGGCTAAGGGACTACAATTTTGTCTTCTAATGGGGTTTGGTATATTTTATAACAGGGATTCGCAATCGGGTCAGCTGCTCTGGTCTCCCTGGCCCTGTTTGGAGCGTTTGTGAGTCGTGCGGGCATAACGACTGTAGACGTGCTGACTCCAAAGGTATTCATAGGGCTGATAGTGGGTGCCATGCTTCCTTACTGGTTCTCGGCAATGACAATGAAGAGTGTGGGCAGTGCTGCTCTGAAGATGGTGGAGGAAGTGCGGCGGCAGTTCAACACCATCCCGGGTCTCATGGAGGGCACTGCAAAGCCAGACTATGCGACATGTGTCAAGATCTCCACAGATGCATCCATCAAGGAGATGATCCCTCCAGGTGCCCTCGTCATGCTCACTCCCCTCATTGCAGGCATTTTCTTTGGTGTTGAGACTCTATCTGGTGTTCTTGCTGGATCTCTTGTCTCTGGTGTTCAGGTAATCTTTTTTTTTTTTTTTTTTTTTGATTTTCTGTACGGTGTTGAGGTAATTGTAAATTTACCGTATTTAATTTACTTCTTATTCTACTATCAACGTATAAGCTGCATTTTGGATGAGGAAGGGAATCATTTACAATTTAGATTTACTCTAACGTTGAATGAGTATTATTATTATGGATAGATTTGGAATACTTTACTCGGTATATGTAAAATCCGAATGAAGGTCAAAAGTATTATCTAGAGTTTTTTTGCTACATTTTTGTTTTCTGCATTTGCCTAAGGCCCGAATTTTTATGTGACCACAGATTGCTATATCGGCATCCAACACAGGTGGTGCTTGGGATAACGCCAAGAAATATATCGAGGTAAATGTTGTCTGTTTTTATAGGCTAGGATAGGAAGGATAATTTGAATGCCGATTTTATCCGAGTTAATATACAAATATTGTGGTAACACCTAATGGCAAAAACAGGCTGGTGCTTCAGAGCACGCTCGTACTCTTGGTCCAAAAGGCTCGGATGCACACAAGGCGGCTGTGATTGGAGATACTGTTGGTGACCCTCTAAAGGACACGTCTGGCCCATCACTCAACATCCTCATCAAGCTCATGGCTGTTGAGTCCCTCGTGTTTGCTCCCTTCTTTGCTGCCCATGGTGGCTTGCTCTTCAAGATTTTCTGATGGCCGACGAATGAGCTCTTACCTAAATTCTTCCGACTCTCTTCTTTAGGCTCTGTATTTTTCTCTCAATCTTTTGTCGTACTCTTAAAAAGTGTAGTTTCTTTTTGGGGCCAAAACTGTTTGGCCATCATCAAACAACTATCACGGTAGAGTCGGGACATCATTTGTATTCTTTCGTCGAGTTAAAATGGATCCAACATTTGTACTTCTTATTTCATTTTCTTTTGTACCGAGTCTTGTTTCAACAGTTACTGCGAGCGTTTAGCCGTTTAGGGAGTTGTCAAAGCTTCAGATCCAAAAGTTGATTTTTCTGGTGAAAGTGAATGCTATTGTTTCTTGGTTTTAAGTGACCAAGTAGAGTCTGCTCCCCTACATACGATGGACATATGTTAACATGTCCATCGTTTATGTGGCATGCACATATTGCACATATGACACATAAGCGATGGACATATTAATATGTGTCCACCGTAGGTAGAAGAGCATTATCCGTGGAGTCAGTCTGCAGTCGATTCTTATGCGGACCACACTTTTGCTTACCTTACACGACAGTCAAACTAGAATGTCTAAGTTTACACTTGACACCCTAAGAGCATCTCCAATGGCTCTTCTATTGCTCCGTTTTATTGCCACATGGAAGAATAATCATATGTGACATGGTAAATGTCTATAAAGACTTCTTTCTAGATGTAGAAGACATTCTAACTTTCACAATACATATAATATTATTTATTTAATTTATCTCTGTTTTTTTAACCAATTACAATTTTACACATCACAAATTATACCACAATTAATGGTTACCATTGGAGACTCAATTTTTTAATTTTCTTTCTCCATGCCATACAATACAAAAAGGACAATGTTCCATTGGAGATGCTCTAATAACATTCCAACTGGTGTGTCAACTGTGAAATTATAGAGAGGTGCCATAAAAAGAACTTCTCCAACGGTGATTTTTTTTTTGCTTCCACATGTGATGATGTGGCATGAAATAAAAAAATAAATTTAGAAATCTTTCTCTTTTCAGACTGATGAGTCACATTTCTTCTTATTAATTAAAATATATAATTATGTTAAATGGATATAACAATATTTATATAAAAGTTTATCCATTTAAACATGTATATAGTATTTACTAAAATAATCACTTTATCACAAAGCATATTAATTTACATAAAAAATAAAAAATAAAAAATTGATACATTTTTAAAATTATATTATAATATAATGGTTTATATTTTGTAAAAAAAAAAAGACCATAAAATGTGGCGTAGTAAAGTAAGTTGCTCGTACAAAAATAATGGCGATTGCAGCTAAACTAATGGCGATAAGCCGATAACAACTGCTCTTACAAAAATAACTAGTGTGTATCTCGTGCGATGCACGGTAACAATATTACATTAACAATATTATAAATATCCCTCGAGTTTGAGTCACTCAATGGTGGAAGTGGAAACTATTATTGATCCAATTTAAAATGAGGAAGAAAAACATAATAAATATATATATTAAAGTGTCGGGGTCAGACAATGTAAAATTATTTTGTATAAGAGAATATAAATTTTATATTATTTTGTATAATAGAATATAAAATTTGTATGTTTAATATTAAAAACACCTAAAATATTATATTAGTATATGTAAAAATATTCAAAATTTTCTATATTATTTTTAAAAGATATGAAGTCACCTACAACTTTTCTAAACAATTTTAGAAAGAAAATATATATAAAAACATTTTAATTTAACATTATGTAAAAAAAAAAAAAAAATCTAGACTATTTTGTAAAAAAAGAATGTCTACAAATAATTAAATTTAACATCAATTATGTATATGTGTATATATAGACGAATATGTAAAAAAAACCAATGTCTAAATAATTTGTTTAAAATAACTAAAATATTATAAGGCTAATTTAATAAACACCTTCGGTAAAAAAACAGGAAAAAAAACAAATATCTACACATTAAATCAGATATAATGTTTCAAAATTTCTGCAGTTTAAATGAAAAGACAAACAAATCAACACAATATCTATTATTTTGTTAACCTAACAAAGAAAAAAGGAAACATCACAAAAACCATCACATGTATTATTTTGTTAACCTAAAAAAAAAAGAAAAAGAAAAACATCACAAAAACCAGCGCGGTTTTTTTTGTTAACACTTTATCACTGTTTATTTAATGATTTTAGAGAGAAAATAATAATTTTAGCGGGTATTTAATGATTTTAGAGGAAAAATAATGATTTTGACGGGTATTTAATGATTTTGGAGGGAAAATAATGATTTTGGCAGAAATCATAAAAAAATTATTCTTTTAATATAATTATAGATAAAAAACAAAGTTACTAATTATGGACTGCAATTAATATTCCTTGATTTTTTTAGTTGCTATTTTTAGTAAATAGTAATTCTTTATATATATATATATAGATGACAGTTTATTAAATTATAACTTGTAGGTATTTATTTGTACAGGAAGCATATCAATTTATGTAAGAAAATAAATAAAAGAACAAAATCATACATTTTAAAAATTATATTATAAATATAATGGTATGTATTATGTCAAAAAAAATAAAAAAGGCAACGGTGTGGATGGTGATTGCAGCTGCTCTTACAAAAATAATGTGGTTAACTAAATCTAAAGTTTGTTGGAAATTTTTGTATGGTATTCAGAAAGCCATCAATTTAGACTACAATCCATTCTCAACATTGGAGATGCTCTAGACAAGAACAAAGTTCAGTTCAAGTCCGATACAACATTTTTCTTTTGTTCTGTTCTCTTTTGTACTTCTCTATTATTATTATTGATATGGGGTTTACTAGACCCGATCGAACAATTTGTGTTGTTTTGTTTTTTTCTATTATTATTATTATTATTATTATTATTATTGGGTTTACCTGACCCGACCCAACAAATTTTGTTATATTTTGTGTTTCTCTATTATTATTATTGATCTTAGGTTTACCTGACTCGATCCAACATTTTTTTGTTCTGTTTTGTGTTTCTCTATTATTACAGTTATTGATCTTGGGTTTACCTGGCCCAACACGTGAAGGCGCATCCTAATTCTTCTTTTGTTTCATACTAGTGAAGCGTGTGTGGCACACTACACTATTTATATCTTTTGTGCTTTTAGTTTGTTTATTTTATTTATAAGATTGATATAATTTCCCGCATCATTTTTTATTTAATCTAACTAAAATGTTTATTACAAAATAAATTGTGTCAAATATAATGAAAGTTGAAACATAATTTTCAAACATTACTTCTTTAAATTAATGTTGTTTGTCAATGATATAGCCATATCGCAACATAGCAGTTCAAACACTAACTACCCGGTCGAATAATAGGCACACGAGTCGACCTACACTAATCGACATCAAGGAATCGACTTATGTAAAGTCGATTCTTCCTATAAGCCTCCTGAGAACTGTTTTCGGCTTAACAAAGTCCAGGTGGTTCTTTCAGCCGACCTTCAGAAAGTCGACTTTCCTCAGAGAGATGAATATGCGCAATACGATCTACAGACATTCAAGAATGACCTGAGTTGACTCGACAACACCCGAAGTCGACTTATGATGCCTTGAGGCACCGAGACCTCCAACGACTTCTATATACTTCAACATATCGTAAGAAAACCTCCAAGCAAGAGTGAATCTACCGAGGATAAGAAGGAATCTGGATGCTGACTAGAGGTGGACGGAATGCGGACCGACCAGGGTATTTTGGACATTTCACATAAGTCGGCCAGGCCATTTTGGGGACTTCAGGTAAGTGTTACGCCTCAATATAAAGGAGCTGAGATAACCCCAAACCCTAACTTTCATCCTCTACACATTTTCCTAGCTGCTGCTCCTACTGAGCATAGCTCATCTTCATTGCTCCCATATTGACTTGATCGTCAGAGGCTTTTCACCGGAAACATCTCCGGTGTTGAGTTCTTGCAGGTGTTTGCAGCGGTTCGAAGGCGATTTGGAGGCGGTTCGAGCATATCAGAACCCATTTCCACCGGCTCACTTCAGATCCCGAAGTAGACTCATCAAATTGGCACCATTTGTCGGGGGTTCTTAAAGGAAACAAGAGCTTTACACCTGGTTTTGATATGTTCAAAAATGGCGAAGAAGGAAGGACTACAAAGGAATCTGAGCGAGGATTTCATGGGAACGTGGACGGACAA